AACGTTCTTTCCATGTAATTTTAGAATTAATGCGCGGCTAAATTCAGATTAAAATCTTAGATTTTAAATAGCTAAAAGAAAATATTAAATTTTAATAAAAATATTATTTATTTGAATTGTAATAAGTAAATATTTACTAAATGTGTGTTGTTGTAAATATATTTATTTGACGACAAAAACCATTAATTTGATTTAACTATCATCTTTATCAAGTAAATATTTACTTAGTACTATTCAAAGAAATATATTAAAATTTAATAAATTTTTTTCATTACGCGCTTAATATCTCACACTTTATTTTTTTATATAAATATAAAATCTCAAATTCTTAAATTTAATTTTTGTTCATATTTTTTCTTCTTTAAAATAATTAATGTAATCAAATAGCAATGATAGTTTTTCATCTAATGGTAATAACTTTATAAAATCTCAGGATCGCAAAAACAGAGAACATAATATGGATTGCTTCATTCGATTCCGTTAAGTCAATATCGCGATGATCGTTAGATTTAACAAGGTCGCCGAATGACGGCGCGTGTAATGACGGTTAATTAAACACCAGAGAGAACTCACGTTCTTTTTCTTCGTCCGTTCGCGCGCCATTCGGGCAAGGAGCGAGGCACGGAGCTTCGCGTAAGGCGTCGATCTTAAGGATGGAATGGAAGTCGACCGGCCGGTATTACTTTGTATATAACCGATAATTACCGTCGTTCGTTTCGAAAGCGCTCCACCCTCCTCATGCCGAGTTTGTTAGGCGAAGGAACAACACATCGCGCCGTCTCGCCTGTTTTCGCGGCGTCCTTGCGCGCCGTGGGGCCCGTTCGGCCCCGCACGCAAACTGGGTCAGCTTCGCCAACCCAAGTCCGTTTTCTTTGACGAGCGGAAGTTCGTCCAGAAAGCACACCGATTTGCACAACCGATCAATCGTTCCCCTTGGGCGATACGCACCGCGGGACTGAAACGAAACTTGACAGACACGTGGAGAAAGTCAAAATACCCGGGACTCTATCGTTTACGTCCAAATTACAGGGGAATCTCTGTTAACTGAACTAACGGAGAGACACGAGTGTTTGGGTAAACGAATTTTAAAACAAGATAATCGCCTTCCTGTGACTAAAGTCTTCATTTCTTATTTTCTTTTGAAAACTGTATTAACACTTCATCATCTGAATCTTTTGATGCAAGCGAAATTTCACTCTCAAATTTCTCTGAAATAAAGGAGTCTGATTCTTCCTCACAAAATATTTTATTATCTATTTAATAAATAAGAACGTTAAAAAGTAATCCTGAATTTTTCCACATTTTTTGGAAAAACTAAAAAGCTTAAGATAGACAAAAAAGATAAATTTCAAATGAAGGGAATAAAAATATGATTACAAATAAAGGGTTAAGAATCAACAAACATTTTTAATTAAATTCGATAATTTAAAAAATATACACGAAAAGAGAACAATTTTGCAAAATTCATCTATAGTTCTGAAAATAATTTAATACTAAATAATTGTATAGAAAAATCAAGCATAATGAGCAATGCAAGAGAAGTTTTCACGTCCTAGCAACCAGTTTGAGCAAGTCTTAATAATTATTATAAAGACCCTTAAAAGAAAATTAACTTCAAATCTGTATTTATAGTTAAATTTTAAATACTTTTGCAAAATCTTTTTCGTCCTTTCTGTATATATATCGTTTTCTTAAATAAAATTTCACAAAATGTATGTTATACATTTATTACATGTATATATATAATATTATTTATATATCTATTCGTATTTTTATACTCCTGAATGAAGAATAGGATTTTCTCTTTTCAACAAAAATTGTTTAATCGTTTAAAAGAGTCACGCTCGATAAAATGAGTTTTTTTTCAATCTATTCTTGACAGACAAATTTATCAGCAATGATAAACCGTGTCTGATTGAGACGGGGGAAACCACGTTGTCAGTCGCGCTATCGACATCCGCAACAGCGGTGTCACGACAGTCGCGTTAATCGCATGGCTCCGCTGTGTCTCGATTCCGCTCCGTTGGTTATGCATTAGCTTAGCTTTTTGTGCTGGCGCTGTCGAAACACGAGTTCAAAGGCCACGTGGCATAAGTAAAGCTTGTGATTCTGCGATTTCTACCGTTACTGCTGACAAGATTAAGTAGAATAATTTGCGTTATACAATATGGCCATAAACAAGCTAAATACTTCTCATTTTATCTTCGCACCATCATATTTTGAAATTTTTTAACACTCGGGTCTTCTATTTACAACTTTATATTGATCAGCATAAAAAAATTGTAATCTAATATAAGGAAATTTGACATTATTAAACTTCAGAAATTTTAAATCTTTAAACTTAATGGAAATAGAATTATTTATTGTGTTTTTTTATTATTTTTTATTGTTGTAATTATTGGTACTGTAATTATTGTAATGGTGACACTGTAATGGTCGACAAAATTTTATTTTTCTTATTGAGATCTGAGAAGGTATTTTTTATAATATCTTTTACGTTGATTTTAATTCTGTCAAAATGACGAGTGCAAGGTTTTTGAGTGATATACATACATTTAAAAATTCCTTTACTTTTATTTTTTTTCCGTTTAGACATAAATAAATGATTTATAAAGAATAGCTGCTAAGTTTAACATGATTCTTTACTCATTATTCAAACGGATTCAAACAAAACTAATTATTTTAATTAAGAAAAAGGTTTAATCTTACATAAACTATTAGTAAAATGTGGATGTTTTTAAAAAGAAATATATTAGTTATAAAAAATTTGAGTTCTTAAAATAAAGTCTAATCTTATTTTTCGAATCAATATAAAAAATATGTAAGGAATGGTCAAAATTATCCTTTTAATAAAATTTTTGTCAACTAATGTAATATAAATATATATATATACCAACAAATATATTACGATTTTTGAAATATCTTTTTAAAAAATTAGACCGTTATATGCTTCAATCTGTCATCGTAAAATAAATTGAAGGACTGTAGCGGAGATCGAAAATACTTAAGAGCGTCAAATAGCATGTATGGTTTTTGTCGCTCATCATCAAAACGGTATCGTCCAAGTGACCTCGTTAATTGCCGATGCTAATTAAGATGTGCACAATCCTAAACGCGCCTTGCGCTAATAAGTACACCGTGTAGTAACGCGGGGCGACATCGTCATTAAGTTGCACCCAGCAGCGGTGCATTTGTGTATGTGTTGTATTCGCGGCACGTTCGCGATTTTGCATTAACTCTGACAACCGAGACGAAGTACGAGAGGGCTTTCCACAGAGGTTCCGCATCTTTTTGTACGGATAATCACGTCTTCGACGCCGTGCACTGCGATATTAGCTCAAAGATGCTGTAGCACAAAAATATTCTACAATTGTTACATACAAACACGGCGTATAATTTTATGTCTCCAGATAAAGTGTAGCTAAACGAAAAAAATATTATAGCTTGATTCGGAAAGAAATTTAGTTTTGTTTTCGAGTAAAAAATTCTAATAATATACTTCTTTAATAAAGGTTCTTTAAAGAAGGTAATATTTCTTTAAGAAAAAATTAATTCTATAGTCATTCTTGCGTGTAACATTCTTGAATGTTGCGTTATTTTTCCTAGGAATGTGTCCCTTGTGTATTTATATTATCGTGTGTGAGATTTCAAAGGATAAATATCCGTGACGACATACGTGTTGAACGAAAATTAACGCAACATGACAACAACAACTTCTAAATAATAATGTTTTTAAAGATTCTAGAATACATATTGTTACACAAAAGAACGGTTTTGTTGAAGTATCTAAAAATTTAACTAGATATAGATTTGGAGATAATTTTATTAGATCATAAATAATTATGTAGAACGTTTAAACGTTGATAATATATTTATATATATATATATATATATAAACATTTTCCTCAATCTCCGTAGTGGTCTGTCTTTGTAATGGTCTAAACCGCTCTTATCCGGTGTTCTAATTACACCCTTAATTACACGTGCACGCCGAGGAGTCTTTTCATGACATGGTGGAGTCTGTTCACTGCATGCAGTCATTTCCTGACGAAGCTGCGAGATTTATAAAGACAAGAAAAAAAGAATTCCAAGTTTCAGAAATTTTATAATGTATTTGCAAGAAAAACAAAGTATAATACATACATATATAAAATTTAAGACAAATTTAAGAGGATCAAATTTAGTCTAAGTTAGATCATAAAAATGGCTCCTGAGAAACTTGAAAAAAATATATATATATTGTTAATTTTTTTTACTTAAATACTTATTTTCTCACACACATGGAAAGATTAATTTTGCTAAAACATTAAAAAATTTAGTTAAATACAATTAAATAATTTGGTAGAGGAATTTTATATTCTAGAAAGTGTCTAGCTTGAGCATTCTATATAATTATTTTGATATAGTTCAACAAAATTATTTTCAGATCTGTATCTAGTCAAATTTAGCAAAACAATTGTTCTTTTCTCGGATTTATCAATATTTCGTGCACAGCCAGATAGAATACTTTTCATTTAGGTTGTATTTTTCTCTTCCAGCGAATCTCTGTCATGATGCATTTATCATGCTCATTCGTCGACATGAAGATTTTGCGGTGAGTTTGTGTGCATTATGTTTTCTCTCTTACATTTTCACAGATAGAGAACAAGTGTCATTGGTTCTCTTTCTCTCACGCACATATATTTTTTCCGAAAATTATTCGAAAGTCTGAGAAAAAAATTCGTGTACGCGCGTATCCGATATAAGGCAATATTATTCGCACCGTTGGTTGGCGTGCAGGGTCCCCTCGATCCTGCACCTATGTCGAAACGACCGCTACAGCGCACAGCAACTCTGTAGAAATTTCTCTCTGGCAGCGGTTGCAAACCTGCCCTCGGCTACGACGCCGGGTTCTAAGCTCGCTTCTGCAATCGTACGGCTAACTGCCTGCGACTCTCCGCGTTATGCATCATCTCGCGTTTTCCAGCTGGTAATTATCGTACCACTGCCATCCCGGGGCCTTAGCCTGCTTCTTCAGCCCGCTTCCATCGACTCGAAATTCTGGCGAAATACGCAGACTCGTTGATCTCTCGACCGAGAGATACACAAGTAGGATGTATGTACCAGGAGCTACCGAAGAGCTTTCTCATTACAGATTCTTCAATTGATTTAGAATTGATCTTGACGTAAACGTCGAGCCAGCTAAGAATTTATGAATTACTTAATCATTTTTTTATAAAACTCATGAATAATTATTTTATCCAATTATAATAAAAAATAATAAAACACTTCCTTTTATTGTCCTTAAATCAGCTAAAAAATGCCATCCTTTATATATTTTACATAATTTATTTCTAAATTATTCCCTTCAGTCGATTATAAGTGGATTTTGTTTCTTCAAGAGTTTCAATTTAAAGATGTTGGTACAAGATACACAGAGTGTCAAAAATAGATAAGATCGTGTTAAACGAATAACAATAACTTTCTGTTAAACGCGTACGAAGATTATCATGAAATTGATCGTGAAAGAAACTGTGATTAAAAGAACATCCGGTGATTCTGGGACACCATGTATAATGCAACGGATAGGTGCACTTCGCTATAGGTGAACCACTCGACTATCAACCTGGCAAATGTCAGAGTATCCTGCCGTCGTCGTCGGAACCTGTCCTGTACTCGTGCAGGCTGAGTGCGCGCGCGCGGGGAAATATTAGACTTCGCGAAACCCGCGGCTAAGTGCAACGTGTATATTACTGCAACACTGTGCATAATTCAGACTCGAGTAGAATCTATGTTTAATAGATCTGAAAATAGTATGCCTCTCGTTTGATTGCCGCTTAACCTACAATTTAACGTAAATTAAAACTTAAGAAAAATCCTCCCCGTCTTTTAGAAAAGTTAGAAGAGATTAAATTAATATTTAACACGATTTAATGTGTGATATTTAGAAACTGAGAAAAATTCTGAATTAGAATGTAGAATCTGAAGTTTACTTTAAAAGAAGCTTAGAATATTTACTTTGACAAGACTTAAAAAAGTAACAGATTAAATCATGCAATATAAGACTTAATTCAATGTGCATAACTTGGTCGAATAGAATATAGAATATGTAGAATGGAATTAAAATAATTCTAAAAAGGAGACACATACTTTTATACCGAGAATTATTTATTATGATAAATCGGTAATTTATTAGCAAATGGAAGGAACAGATTTTGTCTCGATTAAGCGAACAACTTCGTCATCACTAGAGGAATTTATTTACATGTGTGTGCGTACTTGTGATTTAAAATTCGACCGTGCGTTTCGCAACGAAGTAAATAAGCGTAATTATGAGGTTTAAAGTTTTTGCGAAGTCGACTTCTCTTTTCTCTCTCTCTCCTCTCTTTCTTCGCTTCTTTCATTTATCTTCTACTTAATCTGTCTTGCGGGAACGTTCTTCTCGTATTCGCAATATCAATAAGTATGTAGTAGCGCAAAGAAACGAGAGTGAGAAATCGATTTTTTTCTCCCATCCAGAACACACATGTGCATTCGCTATTAACATTCCGATAGAAAGCGGTGACTCATTGCTGCCTATAGTGTATTTTAAGAGCGTCTAGAAACTGATGAAAGTCATTCAGTGACAACTTCGTTCTACAATTTAGAGGCCGAGTGTTATTCCAAAAGCATACGCGAGATATCCACCGAAAATCTTAAGTTCTTCAAGAGTTCGATTCAAGTATCCCTCAGCTATTCATTCTTATTGAAACTAACTTATTAAGATAAAACATTAACGAAATATTGTAATAACACTAATTTTTTAAAACTCAATTTTCTTTAACAGCACAGTTCTGCATAAAAAATATGGAAACTTTTTATTTATTCTTTTTATGTAGAATCGCTTTTCCTTCGCGTATTGTGTATAAAATTATATAACCTTAATATAACTTTAATATAAAGAGATAAATAAAAAGGTCGATGGATCAACCTTTATTTATCTCTTTTTCTCTTGAAATGTTACGTCGCTATCTAGAGATCGACAATCGATAACGTCGAAATCAAACTCTGATCAGTTAACGTTCAGACATATTTTGTTACTACGAAAGAGGCTTGATCGATTGATTTAATTCGCGGTAATTCTGTGAACATTAATTGTTTTTTACTCTGTGTGTTCAATCGTGAGGACTAGGATCGTCAAGGAGAGAAATTCAGGTTCTCCTCGTTGTATTTTACGACGATGACCTCACGTGTCCTTCCACTGTCTTCCTCCGGGCATCGCCGGTAAAAAGGACTATTAATAATCCACCTTGCTTTCTCATTCTGCTCAATGAAACGTGTAAAGTATTCGATAATTAACAATGTAATCAAAAAACATGGTTATATGTTTAATTTTATTTATATTTTATTATATAATAACATTTCGTATATTACCGTATAATTTTGTGGTGGTGTGTGTGTGTGTAGTCTATATTTTATTATCTTAAATCTTGACAGATATCATTAATCTTTTTAAGATTTTGGAATTTACGAACCTATATCTGATATAACCTTCATTTATATGGCTTTATTTTTTAACCTACAAATAATTAGATGGGTTGCTCGGAACACCCTACATTTTTTTTTATCTTTATAGTTATATTTTTTAATATATGTATGTATATACAGTTAAATTTACAGTATTTGTTTTGTTGATTATCCTTATGAGATACAGGAATGTAAAAAATAATGAACTTTAAAACTTCAATATACTTTATCTTTTTCAGAAAGGTTTTTAAGACTAATTAGGCTGCTCTCCATAGTAATCTTTTTAAAGGTTAAAAATAATATCACAATTGAAATATTGAGACTGCAGGAAATAATATATTAACCGTGTCATTTTAGGTGTAAGATTTTATTGTCAACACTGATATAATTAATTACAGTAATAATTTTTATGCTATAGAGTCTGATCAATATTGACTTGATTATTAACTGTAATCTTACTATTTCCTGAATTTAAATTTGATTTATTAGCGAAAAATTATTCTTATTATATATGTATAAATATATAATAATAAAGGGGGATTTAATCATTTTACACATATTTAGTTTTTTTTAAATTCTATCGCATTTTTAATAGCGCGAGAAACTTAGAAAGAATACAACACAGTATATTTAAAACGCACACGTTTTAAAATAGCCATCTAAAGGTGGCTCTCTCTCAATCGAAGGAATACTTGTATAGCCCACGTCGCGCACGATAGTCACGTGGATTACAAAAGCGTCGGTATGATTATGCGTCGCGACGCGGCGCGGCGCGTCCCAGATATCCCCCGCTCGCGCAAAGCGGCGATTTCGACGAAGCCGAAGGAGGAGACTTTAACGCCGGCGTACACGCGATCCCACGCTCGTAGATGCGTATCTCCGCGTCTGCCTTCTCGATCTTACCTTTGTTGTGGCCCGTTCGCGTTGCGCTTCCTGCCGTTTTCTATTTTGCGGTCCCTTATTCCGTAAGTTCGACTGTCTTTTCTTTTTATCGTAATCAAATGCCATTTGGAGCTCAAATTCATTTTGGGTTAATTGAAGATAAAGTTTGAGGAAATCTAATTGCACAGGTAAGGTCGAGTATAGCGTAATCGCACTGTGATTCAATTGTTTAGAAAATTAAAAAACTATAAACTAAATATTAATTTCTTACTTTAACATTTAATTTTTTAAGAATATTTTTTTCTTAAAAATTACGTACATTTAAATTTTAAACTCTATGTCTCTAATTCCTTTGTAGAATATATGCGTATTAAAGATTTTTTAATGTATAAAAAAGTAAGATCAGCAGACAAAAAATATTTTAGAATATTTTAAAAATTCAAAAACATTCACACAGAACTAAAAATTCTTGATACTTATTCAACTAGAAAAATTCAAACTTATTTTTTACATTACCTATATATAAATTAAATTCAATTTAGTTGAAATGTTATTTAACTTTTAATTATATTTTAGTTTATAATAAATTAAAATTTAATTCTTTGGATAATTAAACTTCAACTCGATTGGTTTACTAAATCCAAGTTTATATAGGATTCTAAATTAAGATTAAAAAATAACGACGAATGTTAGTCCGCGAATTTCGTTGGCGCCAGAAATAGCTGGTTAAACGACGCTTTTAGACGCATTTTTATTTGGCGATCACATGTCCAGCGTGTTTATGTCTGTAGATAAAGAACGCGGCGAGTCGTGTCTTCATCCTTTGGCGCGTTTTCTCGAAAAACAAGTGGCAATTCTGGACACTCCTCACTCGGTGCGGCAGACCGGAGTTGAGGCGATCAAAATTCCTTCCACGGTTTCCCCGGACGAAAATAACAAATTCATCCAAATTCCATGAGCGACAAACGACGAGAGGCGAATCCCCTCATCTTCCTTCTTTCTCTTTCTACAGCTTGCCATAAGAATCTCTAAACCAACATAAAAATCGCTCTTAAAATCCGCGATTCGTTTTTTAGAAACTCGATTCAGGCTTTTATATTAAGATATATACATTTAAATTATATTATACTTATATTTGAGTCGTTTGAGACTAAAAGAATTTGATTCAGCAGATTTAAAATCTTATACAAAAATGTTTAATATAATATATCTTTCACACAATAAAAATGTAAGAATAGGATTACAATTTTAGAGAATATTTAATGTACTATTTTTTGAATAAATTTTCCCCATTTCTGAGCAAAATTTTAAAACTAAAATTGCCTAAATTTTTAAATAAAACATTTCTTCTTTAATATCTTTTGTAATATTTTTCATCGTTTTATTAATTTCATCATTGAACAACATGAAAAAGGAGGATTAGATAATGATCGTAATTATCGCCTTTAAGTGTTGCACTCTATCGTTTTTACAGTTTGTTTTTTTCAAATTTCTGGATCCATGTGGAATCTGCATTCACGAACGTGACCAGTTTTTATTTGGTGACACGCGGAACGATCTAACACGCGCAATACACGCGCGACACGTTTGCCATTACCGCAATTTTATAGTTAATTAATACCGTAACGTGGTCGCGGTATCATGAACAGCTGGAATTTTTCACCAATTATTTGTTTCGCAGGCCGCAACACCGCTGCAGTGGCGATTCATCATGTAGAACGGATATATTGTGGTCAATTTTAAGCGAGAAAACCGATTTCTCAAAACGTCAACGAAAGTAAAAAGATACATACGAAAAGTGAAAGAAAATAGTT